GCCAACAGGGGATGAATATACAGAGTTCAAATAAAATCAGCCCAAGGTGCTGTGCAAGCATAAAATGCAATTTAACTGGAGTGCTTAAAAAAAAAAAAAGATTATAATTATTGGAATGCACAATTTAAAAAATATGCAAATAAAAAATCTTAAAATAAAAAAATGGAATTACAGTCTTGGAAACTCACAGGGGCAGTTCTACCCTGTCCTATAGCGTCTCTATGAATCTGCATCAACTTGATGGCAGTAAATTTGGTTCATTTTGTTCTTAGAACTATAGTCCCTAAAATACCTAGCATCTGATGCCATCTTGTGGAGACAGAGCATGCTCAGCCTGAAATTCCCAGAATCATCCTGGCCTTGCATGAACCTTTAAATAATGACCCCCTCCCCTACATGTATTAGGGAAAGCCATTTCCTTGACTGTACTAGCTTTTTGGTCATCACCTCAGGAAGCCCTAATAAAATTCTCTAATGTCTGTATGTCTGAGCAGAGTAATTCTTTCTCTTGGTAAATGTGGAAGCTACAAAATCTCCTGTCAACTTGCTAAGGGGTGAAGTATAGCCTGTCAATCGGGCGATAACCAATGAGGCCTCTGTGTGGGCATGGCCTCCTTCTGAGGATTCTGGGAACTTTGATCTTCCTCCCTGGAGGTAAGAGAGACTCTCTCTGCTTGTCTCCCTGAAAGACATTCCTGTTGAAAAGCCATATGGAGCTACACTGATGTAGCCAGAGCCCTGGAACTGGAAGAGTCATGTGGAGACCCACACCAGCACTGAGATACTTCCACCACCACTGGATCCACAAGACTTACCACCCACTGGCCTGTGATCTTCCTGTACTCAGCATCATTGCATAGCTGCGTGAGTCTAAAGAGTAATTTATGGACTAGTATTGACATATGGGGTAATATTGGACTTATGGACTTGGTCTGGACTGGGCTGGGATGTTTTCTTAATGTATAATTAATTGTTCTTTGAGATAAAGTTCTCTAGTCAGTCTGGGCTAACACAGTAAAAGACAAGAAACTGATTCCAGTAACAGAGAGAGACTTAGTAACTTCCTAAAAGAAGATCAGATAGTAAGTACTGCGTTCCACTAAGCAGAAATCTTCCTGGTAGAGCCCTGTCTAAATCAAAACCTAAAGGAGACTCCTAGCTGGCCATGTAAAGGTGAGGAGGGGAAAGGAAGAGCTAGGAGGGAAAGAGCAGTGGGTCTAGAACAAGGGAACATGCTGTCGGCAAAGGTCCTGAGGGGAGAGAAAGAATAGTCCATTCTAGATCTGAAAGTATAGAAGCTCCTGTACTATTTTCACCTTACACACATTGTGGCACCAGACATCAAAATGGCTGACAATGATCTTCACTGCTATTCACTTTATAGGGATGGCCTGAACACCAAATAGGATGTTGTGGAAAGGGTGGTGTATGGATTCTGAAGTTAAGTCCAAAGAACATTCTGCCTCCTGACATGCTCTCTTGAATCATTTGTTCTGGGGAAAGCCAGCTGCCATGTCATGAAGCCTCTTGCTGATAGATCCTCCCGCCCCAAGACATGGTGAGAGCTGACTAGCCCTGACCAACAGCTTGACTCCCACTGGGACCCAATCCACTAACAAATGAAATAAAAATGGAGACACTAACAAAATCTAAAAGTGGTGGGAGAAACCTAGAACCATAAAGATCATCAATGAAAAGCTGGGGACAAACTTAAGATCCCTAATATATGGCATAGATACACTATCAAATATCATAAAAACATACAAACAGGAGAAGACGAAATAGATGACTAGGGTCTCTTAAAAAGTAGACACTTCTGAAAGAAATCCCAGGACCAGAGGACCATCTCTGTCTGAAGTGGGGGAGGCTGGGACCAGAGGCCAAGCCAAGGAGACCTTGACACAAAACTGAGGAGTAGCACCAAGATGATGAGACTGTGAGGCAAAGTTGGGGGCTGGCTTCCTGTCCCAGAGAGGCAGCAGACAGGGACTATAGGGCTGAGAAGCTGAGGACAGGAAAGAGACTTGGCTACTGGCTGAGAGGTGGTTGTGCGGACCAATTACTGCATCCTTACTATTTACTAATCCTGGCTTGTGGTAACCTGCCAACTTCCCTAATAAACCCCTTTAATTGTGTGTGTAACGGGGGGTGGGGGTGGGGGTGGGGGTAGGATGTCTGTGAGAGGACACTTAGATGCATCAAAAGATTTCGCCAAAGAGTGAAAAGAGAGCCTACAAACGGGGGAAATTTTTGGCAATGACGTAGCAGACAAGAGACTAATCTCTAAAATGTATACAAAATGTCAACTCAACAAGAAAAAGACAAATAGCCCAATTAAAAAATGAGCACAGGACATGAGCAGATACTTCAAAAGGAGGCATTCAGGAGAGCAACAAACATATGAAGAAATGTCCTGGATCATTAGTCTTTCAAGAGATTCAAATCAAAATAAGAATGAGATATTACCCAAGCATTAATAGGACAGTCAAAACAGGACCTGCCTTCTTTGTAGTTTGTTCTTAGTCTAGAAGGTTCTGCTGAACTCTGTTTGCCTTTGGTGACCCTGCTGGTATTTGAAATACTAGTGACACAGCTCCCAGCATCATAACAAACTGCAGCCACCATAGTAGGACAGACAGAAAAATGGTGGAATAGACAGTGAGGGGCAAATAGAATGAATGATCAGAATGATCAAGAGAATCCAGTAAGACATTCGGCACTGGATGCCATAATTCTATGTGCTCAAGTGGAGCCATTCACTTCCCCCTTTGACCTTTTGATAAACTTCCATTCATTCATTAATGAAATTTTTGTTGAGTCTGTGCAATGTGGCAGACACTGTTTTGGGTAGAGAAACACATCAGTGAACAAAACATATTTTTAAAAAACCCAAAACTCTATTTTGGAAGCTTATATTTTAATATAGGTACAAGCAATAAACATATATTAATAATTGATAATTGGGTATTGTTGCTAGGTGCCTTCAAATCAGTTCCACCTCACATCAACCTTATGTATAACCGAACGCAACACCACCCGTTCTGAACCATCCTCACAATTGTTATGTTGGAGCTGCAGTCCTTACTCCAGCACCTGTGTGTACTTGAAGGTGATGTTACGGAAAAATTAGGGTAAGGGCTTGTCAGAGATGAGGAATTTACAATGGAGCACACAGGGCACTCATAGAGGAGGTGACAGTTGAAAAAAGACTGCCAAGCAGACAACTGGAGGTCAAGCATTCTAGGCAGAAGTTACGGCCAGAGCAGAGGTCTTGGGGTGGGAGTGAGCCTGGGAAGTTCAAGCAGTGAGCAGGGTGCTAAGAAATGAAATCATATAGAAAGTGGGAAGTACCAGATACAATTTTGGTTTTTAATCTAAGAAAACTAGATATTAAAGGGTCTGAGGCACAAGTGGCATAAATAAAGTTTTCTAACTTGATCACTCATAGGAGCTGTGGTGGCATAGTGAGTGATGCACTGGGCCACCAACCCCGAGGCCAGCAGTTCGAAACCACACCTCCTCCACGAGAGAAAGAGAAGGTTTTCTACTGCTGTAAAAAGACTCCTGTCTCTGAAACCCATGGGGGCAGTTCTACCCTGCCCCTATGGGGTCACTGCGAGCCAGGATTGACTCAACAGCAGTGGGTATACTTGGTTCGTGTGACCAGGGTCATTGGCTGCTGTGTTTGAAATGGATGCTAAGTGGCTAGGGTAGAAGCAGGAACAGTAAAGAGGCTTCCGCAGATCAGGCAACACCTTCAGTGATCTCTATGGTTTGTTTAACGCAAAACAAAACTCACTGGCATGGAGTCCATGCTGACTCAGCGGGCGGCCCTCAGGCCAGGGTGAGTCGAACTGTCCCTGTAGGTTATGGGAGCCTCGCTCCGGCCGGGCAGCTGGCGGGTTTTGAACTGCAGGCCAATGTGCAACCGCCACCGGGCTCCTTGCGGCTTGTTAGGTTGTAACAGAGCAGGGAGGCAAGAAAGTCAGGAAGGGAGGAACAAGGGTTGTTTACTTGTTCGAGGGGTGACTGGGGGTGGGGGGGGTGCCTTCAAGGAGTTTAATTCTTGGTCGTATCTGACGCACCCAGGAGGGAATGCCAGGCGGGCAGCTGCGGAGAGAGAGTGGGGGATGGATGAAAGCAGTCAGCACGTAGCTGGATTTAGAGCCTTGAGAGTAAACACTACTTTCCGGGTCCCTGGATTTAGAGCCTTGAGAGTAAACACTACTTTCCGGATCCCTACAGAAGGGATCCTACAAACGAGACGGCCGGAGGCGGCGTCCGGGAAAGGGACCCTGGCTGCAGGCGGAGAAGCGGGCCGGCAAGGGCGCCGAAGCCCGCACGCCCTCCCAGCGGAGACGCGGGCCCAGACGTGGCGCACGCCCTGCCGGCAGCTTCTCGCTCTTCAGCGTGGCTACCGGGCAGCTGAAACCGAAACGAACCTAACGGCCACTGGCAGCTGTTTCTACAGGCCCAGGCTGTGGAGACAGGAAACGCCACGGAACTTGCCTTGGGACGTAGACTTCATTGATACTACTTTAGATTTAGAACCAATCTTAATAACCAGTAAACTAGGGAAACCAATATAATCGCAACTCTTATAATGGCAGGGGAGGCGGCTGGCTTAAATTTGCGCGCAGGCCGCCTCACCAACGTCACTCCGAAGTAACAGGCTTTCACTTTAATCACTAAGGCGGGAGGCCTCGCCCACTACGGGTCGAAGGATAGGTCACGCCCCGTAGCGCGAAGGAGTCTGATCACGCGCCACAAAAGGATTCGCAGGGCGGGGCGACTCGACGGCTCTTCCTTTTGTTCCCATTGGCTAAGGTCGCGAGGCTTGCCTCCCCGCCATTGGCTATTAGGGAGGCTCGGGGCCGCGCGGAAGGCCGTTCCCTCAATGCGCATGCTCGTGCGTGGTCGCCCCGCAGGCCACTGAGCAGGCGCGGTGTCGTGTCGGCTGGACGCGGGTGAGTGAAGAGGCGTACGCTGCGTCCCAGCGTTCAGCTTTGACTCGGCGGAGCCCGCCCTCCGTCGCGGCGGCGCGGTGCATCTTGGGACAGGGAGCGATCTCCGAGCGAGGCAGCAAGATGGACGCGGGATTCTTCCGCGTAAGTAGAGGCGCGGGGATCTGGGGTTAGGCGGGAGGCCCATTGGTGAGGCCCGGCAGGAGGCCTCAACTCGGCACTAGAGGGCCGGGGAGGGAAGGCTCCGGAGGGACTGAGCCTCCCAGTGCCGGCAGGCGCCCTCTTCCCCTGCCCTGCGGCGGAGACCGGTGCGCCCCTGCGCAGTCTCCTCCTCCGGGATCGTCCCCCCCCTACGCGGCCGCGACGGTCGCCGGAAAATGGCGGCGGGAATGGGCCAGAGTGGTACCTCCTCACCCGCCCGCCTAGCCGGGCCTGCAGGCCGCGCGCCGCCCGCGCCACCGGGTCTGGGGCCTAGCGGAGCCGCGAGGAGGAAGTCCCTAGGGGGAGGCCGGAGGGAGCTCCCAAGTGAGGCGGCAGCTGCCGGGAGGACACTGGAGTACGATTTGGGGCGTTTCGCCCCGGTGAGCGTTTGGAGGGAGACAGGAAACAGCGTATCAGGGCCTCCAGGGAAAGCGGGCCTCCCCCTGCCGCCCTCTCCCCGCTCCTAAGCCTTTGCCTTGGCCCCAGCTCAGAGTTCGCGGCAGCTCCCGCCCAAATTGATAGCCCGCGGGGGTGGTACATCAGATTAGGGTAGTAGGACCCTTGTAGCTTTGAGGATACGGAGTGCAACAGCAAAAAAAGGTGCACTCCTCTGTTGAGGTAGGGTCCGCTCCCCGGTTCACGTTGGCTTTATGCTTTTGGAGTGCCCTGGAAGAAGAGCGACTAGCCTAGGCCGTAACAGACTGCCCGCCCATCGCTGGCGGGCCTGGAAAGCCACCGCGCCGCCCATGATCCCTGGGCTGTTTTACCGTCCTGTTTGTTCCAAGGTGCCCTCCCGGAAGAAAATGGCATCTGGTCTAAATAAATGGGTGGGACGTTAACAGCACGAGAGCACCGGTGAGCTCCTCGGAGGGCAAGAGACCCAGTTGGTCTCAGTGCACTATATTACACTTAGGTAATACAGCTAGGCCCTTTCCACTCCTTGGGGCATAGAATTTGTAGTTTGTGTGTGCTTTTAAAAAACTGAAAGAGAGGAAGCCCTGGACTAAACTCTTATCTCTTCACACTCCCACGTGGGCATTAAAATTCTTTATTTGACTTTAAATATGACAACTAGTCTGGCCTCAGAAGTTGCAAGATTAAAAGAAAAGTTTTTACCATTTGTATTTTTTGAGGTTGCAAGATTGTTCTCACGTGACTTTAGAATAGCCAATGTCTTTAGGGTTCTAGATTAAGAGATTCTATCAGATTTTCACACTACCTGTGAGTGGCCCATTTAGTGATTTGCATCAAAGTGTTTATAATAAACAATTGCTTTCTGCATTGAGAAAAATAGGATGGGGCTTTTTCTTTTTAATTTAGAGGGGGATATGCCACTGGCGTTTAGTTGCGCTTTTTTCTGCTAGCTTTTTTAAGCCCCCTCATCTAAAATCAAAATTTTAAAGCCTCTTGTTTCCTTGTTTAACTTATTTGACTTATTTGCCCAACGGTGCCCTGGTAGCACAGTTTGTCACACCGTGGGTTGCTGTGCTCAGCAGTTTGAATCCACAAGCATGGCTCCACTGGAGAAAGATGAGGCTTTCCACTCCTTTAAAGGATTGCCTCGGACACCTACAAAGGCAGCTTTCTGCCCTACAGGCTTGCTATGAACTGAAATGGACTCTGGTGGTGAATGTTGCAGTGTTTGTATGTGTGGCCTTAACAAAAAAGCATTAGACTGCTAGCCCACCCACCACTCTGAGGGAGAAGTTGAGGCTGTCTGCTCCTGTTTAAGACTTACAACCTCTGAAACCCTGTGTAGTTAACACTCCGAGTCTGAATCTACTTAATGAGAGTGGGTTTGAGTTTTTTGGTTGGCTTGGCATATTTCCTATAGAAATAAGCTCCAGTAGGCAAAGCATGGTGGTTGGTGGTTGATGCATACATTTTAAAAAGGAGTTTGCTTTTGGCGTTGCTAGAAAATATGGAGGGAAAAGGTTGTTTTTAATCCCTTACATACAAGTGACTGGAATTACTTTTGATTTGATTTTTTTAGTACTTCCAACTTGATAAAGCATTAAATTGTATCCCTACGGTAGTAATTATGGCATCCAAATTTAATGGATCCTTACATGTGCCTGTTGCTTTTATGTATATCTTCCTGGTATGCACAAAAGTCTTGCAAAATAGAACTTGCTTACCTTATTTTAGCAGGTAAGGAAACCTTGCCTTCCAGCAAGTTAAGTAATTTATGTTGGATTATACAGTTCAGTAGCAATAGAATTAGGATCATATCCAGCTAGCTTTACCAAGTATTTTCTGATTACTTTCCAAGGGAGAGTAAGCCATCAGTCGGTTTCCAGTCCCTCAGCTTTCCTTGTTGAATTGGACTAGTCCTACTGACTGAACACTAAGTACTTGATAATCGATTCTGTTTGTAAGCAAGCTACCATTATTCTAAAATTTTTGTTGAAATTGAGCTTATTAAGACCCAGATCTTTATTTTTGTGTGTGTGTGTGCATTCCAAGTTAGTAATGGAATAGAAAACTTAGTCCTAAAGTGGTAATGGGTTTGTTGCTTTGTTTTCCCCTATTGATATGTCTTGCTACATTAGTTTTGTAAGTGTGCTACTGACTTTCACAGGGGATGAGACTGAATCTTGTTTGGAAGTATACAATAAGCACAGTAAACATGCCACTATTGTCCTTTTTAAACAAAGGAACCCTTCATTGTCTAAATGAGCACAGAAAAGGGTGTGAAAGGATACATGTGAAGCTTAAAAGTGAACTTTTATGTGCCATGCCAGATACTGCTGTGTTGCTTGATTGTTACAGTGTTTATTTTGTAATTTTTTAAAGTATGGCCATTGGCTGATTAAAGACAAAGGAATTTAACTGTATCTTATAACTGAATTCTTAGCTAAAAGTTTAATTTCTCTTCCTGCAGGGAACAAGTGCCGAACAGGATAATCGGTTCAGCAACAAACAGAAGAAGCTACTGAAACAGCTGAAATTTGCAGAATGCCTAGAAAAAAAGGTAATCTTCCTGGGTTAGACTATTTTGCATCTTTATAACACAATTGATTAATTTGGGGGTGGTTTTATAGGTACATTGTAGCGTGACTGCTCTGGAAAATAATAATTGAACATTTGCTACCTTTTAGCCCCAGCACACATAGCTAGTACCCACTACCATCAAGTCAGTCCCAACTCATGGTGACCCCGTAGGGCAGAGTAGAACGGCTCCTGAACATTTTCAGGACTCTTAAATTTTTAGGGGCACAAACAACTTCATTCTTGTGGTGTGGCTGGTGCACTTGATCAGCTGGTCTGTTTGCCATCGTGTTAATCCACAGTGCCACCAGGGCTCCGGCACACAGCAAACCATCCAGTCAACTCTGGCTCTTAGCAACCTTAGAGGATGGGCTAGACCTCCCCTTGTGGGCTTCTAAGGGTAACTGTTTTTTTTTTTTT